CGATCCACAAAATCACTGGGAAGCAAGATGAGATAACCTAACACACACACACACACACACACTATTGACTGGCCCACTTGAAGCCAAGTGAGCAATGAGCAGATGAAAGGAGACAAATTCTCCAGCCCACCTTTCTTCCCTCTAGCACAAAGGCTGAACATTTTGTAAGATTACCAGTTTGTTCAGCAAAGCATCCAGGACTGTGCCATAAACATTTTCTGCCAAGCACGGGGTTCTCTAATGGTCTGCCTTTCACAGGGAAGGGAAAGCATTCTCCCTGAGGAAGCATTTTGCTCACGCACAAACATAGCCATCCATCTCGTTCCTTTTCCCGTGGTGAACGAGCATCCCGAGAAAATCCGAGCTTCAAACACGGCTTAAGGCAAGGATATTCAGAGGCAGCCTTGTTAAAAGGTTGGCAGGAGGATCCTGATTAGAGCAGGCCACGTGGCTTTACGAACCCACATAAGAGCAGTGACCTACTTATCAGATTAGGATTCGTAGGAGACCTTGAAGCCCTCGCGGCCAAAAAGAATGGCAAAGCTGCACACGGAGGAAGAATCACTAGAGCACGTATGCCAGGCGGTGAGCAGACAACCGAAGAGCCAGATAAGGCCCCAACTTCTATCCCAATCAATCAGCCAGGAGCGTTTTTCAGGTCTTCGCTCCTGGCGAGAACTTCGAATCTTGGGTCATTGCCAGAGCTAGGAAGCAAAGCCTCAGCCTCTCATGGGGTCTAACTTTTATTTTTGTCAAGGTGTGAATATTCAGGCTTGCCATTAGGATGTTAGACAGTCTGCCCTACCATTCTATAGTCCAGATTCAGGGAACTTTTAAGAGAATTTTGTGCGACAATACAATCCCCCAAGCCAACCCTAAGGTGAACAAAGCCACAACTGGTGCAGAAAAAGTTCAGACATTATATATTCTTCACCATTATTCCAGGAAAATGGGGCTGTTCCATAAGGGCAACAGAGCAGGAATGTTGGAACAGCCATAAGGCATTTGCCTTTATCATCACAGACTTGTTTTCCACCCCTACCTTCTCAATCTTCGTTATCCTAATTACAGGTAATCCTTAACTCACAACCGTAATTGACCCTGGAATTACAATCTTAAGTCATTGCCGTTGAAACTTGAACCATTGTGTGAACAAATTCAAAGTTACAACCATATTTTTCTGATGGCAAATGCCACACTGTTAAGCCAATTCCTTTTTCCCAATGGGCGGGTTTTTTTGGCTGGAAACTGGGAAGTTTATGCGGGATACCGCCCCCCCCCCCCCCCCAAAAATAACAATCTCCGCTCACCCCGCCCGCCTGTCTTCCAAATGCCCATAACGGTGAGTCAATCACCAAATGCCCAAAATGTGATCACATGAACATGGTGTGTGTGTGTGTGTGTGTGTGTGTGTGTGTGTGTGTGCAGCTCTCGTAACTCCGAAAACAGGTTGTTAATTGCTCTGGGGAGGCCCATCGTAACGTTGAATGGTTAAGAAACACATCATAAAGTGTACATTTACACTGTACATTTACAATTGTACATTACTAACCGTACATTCCTGCTTGTGATTATTAACTCCTTCAGCTCTCCCACCTCCACTTTTACCATCTGAAGACTTTGTTCCCTCAAGAAAAAACTTTTTTCTCTCATCTTTGCCATACATATAGAGTTGTCCCCCAGGACATTTTTTCCCACGTCATTCAGACCCCACCCCATCTCCTCTCTTTTTGGTGCATGAAGTACTCAGCACGCAGTTATGGTTTCCCCAACTCTACTTTGGGGCCAGGTAACCGGATGATTTTCAAATGCTTGGCACAACCTTAATTCACAATTCCTGTGCTCTGCTGCCCAACGATGTGTGAATCTATAGGCGCAGGGCCAGTCCGGAAGGACTGCAAATGCAGAATGGCTAAATGTCAGTCGGAAGAAGGAGGGGTTGGGAAATGTGGCTTTCAGCAATATCTGTGTTAGCTTACATTCTCAGATGAAGCACTGGAGACCTTCCCATCGGGCCTTTCCAAACCCGCATGAGGATTTTCGCGGAAACCTAATACCCCTTAATGCGAAACTTCAATCTGGCTCAATAAAAGACACTGCTTTCTATTTATTCATTTCCTCCTGGATACGTGATTTCTTTTTCTTCACTGAGATAACTTGTTGCACAGGTAGTCCTTGGCCGACGACCACAAGTGAGCCCAAGATTTCGGTTGTTCAATGAGACCTTTGTTAAGTTGGCGTTGCCCCGTTTTATGACTTTTCCTGCCTCAGTGGTTAAGTGAATTGCTGCAATTGGTAAGTTAGTAATCTGGTGCAGTGGTGGTACGAGTCCGTTGCCAAGCATCCAAATTTTGATCACCTGACCATGGGGATGCTGCAAAGGTCGTAAGTGCGAAAAACTATCGTGAAGTCCCTTTTTTTCAGTGCCGCCGTTAACTTGGAACGGTCACTAAATAAACTGCTGTAAGTCGAGGACTACCTGTACCTTATTATGGCAGGTTGGGATCTTCCCAAATCAAAACAGAATCCAGTAAAAGGATGGGCTGCACTAGGATTTTTTGCAGGCGTTGAAAAACCGATTTGTTCAAGGATACTTAATCTCATTCAATGTGCCCCATTCTTACAAGTATTAAGACGAAGCATAGCTTTCTCTTTTATAAGATTAGCAAGTGTTGTATTCTGACTCTCCCTCTCCTCAATACTGATATGAATTCAACTGTCATCGCCTCAACTCAAAAACGGAATTTCATCCTGGTAAAGTGAATAATAAGAGGAATTAGCACCGCTTCTTTATTCCGACTCTCTTTAACTCAAGCTGGTCTTCAGACGTCATCCCTGGGGCCTTTTCAAAGGGATTTAGAGACCATAAAAACATTCGTGGCAGATAAAAAATAACAATAACAACAATACAGGTCTGCTTTCATCCTTCAAAATCCTTGGCATATTATTTTAATCCTCTGGAATCTGGAATGAACAACTAAATCTTAGTGTCTTCTTTCCTATTGAAGAGGGCAAATATCTATCAATTGCCATAAAACTTTTTAAAGCCAAATCCATCACTCAGATATTAGACAGGTTTCAGATGTGTCCCTATAATAGCTTAAAATCCTTAGATACTATCCCATCCAGATGCCTAAGACTATTATTCTGCGCGCTTCTGCATTTTGAACAGGGCAATCTTCTTAGAAGCTGGGGTGATCCCATTGGAGTCTACGATCCCTTTATCTCAGTTCTATTTTGGGGGTCCACCTTCACTTTTCCAGCAGTTCCCTAGCTTCTACAACCTATACTGGTAGTCCTCGGCTTACGACCACAATTGATCCAAAATATCTGTCGCTAAGTGAGACATTTGTTTAAATGAATTCTGCCTAGCTTTACAACCTTTTGTTGTTGTTAAGCCAATTGCAACCGTTGTCAAGTTAGTGACACCGTTGTTAAGTGAATCTGGCTCCCCTATTGACTCTGCTGTCGGAAAGTTGCACAAGATTATCACATGACCTCAGGACACTTCAACCGTCATAAATACGAGTCCGTTGCCAAGCATCTGAATTTTGATCACCTGACCATGGAGATGCTGCAAAAGTGCAAAAAAAACAGTCCTTAAGTCACTTTTTTCAGTGCCGTTGTAACTTGGAACGGTCACTAAATGAACTGTGGTTAAGCCGAGGACCACTCTGTACTGACAATCTTCTTTTCCTTGGAAAACTAGAATCCAGAATAAGTGCAGCTTCTGCTGCAAGCTCTGCTGGCCATGGGCCCAACGTGACTCCATGCCATCCTTTGGCAGCAGGTGTACCTACTCTCCAGGTAGTTTAGGGTGACCTAGTAGCCTGAATATAAGCAGGGAACATTGGCAAACGTTGGCATTTACAATTGTATAATATACTGCATGGTTCCCTTTGGCTTGCTTTAATATCTCACCCTTCACCATATCGGAGGGAAAATATAACAGTACCCCTTTTCTCAATGAAATTGTCCCTGTGACTTGAGAGGAACCTGAGCCTCTAGCCCAGGAGTGTTAAACTGCAGCACATCACAATCAGGCCACGCCCACCCCAGCTCCGCGAAGGGGAAAAAATGTCACGTGATGGCAACGTAACACCGCCAGTTTCATACCCGTGCTCTCGCTCACATGCTTTTTGATTCTTCTTCGATTCCCATATGGGTCCTTTTTGTAGCCGTATGTGCCCTAACTCCACCTCCTAACCAAAATTCCATTTGTCTGGGAGTGACTTTATTTGCTTATTATTATCAGACTAGATTAATACGGAGAATCAGGCAGGATACAGGTTTAATAAATCATTATCGTCATCTCCAGACGAGTCACAAAATCCTTAACACAGTTGCCACTGCTTTATACAAGAAAAATGTTTTAACCGTTAGGATTTTATAACTAGGTAAAATACATTCTTAATGTCATGTTGTATCTTTCTGCACGTGCAACTTGCCACGGATTGGGATAAACTTATGAATAAACAGAGGTTACAATCAACCTACCCCTTTTTTGTCTCACATAGATTGTAAGTGTGCTCTGTGGAGATGGTTAGAATATAAACCAAACTAAACAAATATTTCTTTGAATCTTGGTGCCTTACAAGAAACTAAAGCCCTTCCCTAAGAATTGATTTCAAAATTAAGTGAGATGATCAAGTGTCAAGATGTTTCAACGATTTTATCACGGAAGGAAAACTTCAACCTTCAAAGCTGTTCGGTGATAGGGCGATCAGATCTGGGCTGCAAAATTCAGGTGATCACAAGACAGAAGAGAGAGAGGTTGTTGTTTTTTTTCTATTGACATCTACTGACCCTCCAGCCCAGATCTGTTAACGTTAATCAGCAAAGGGGCATGACCCTTGCTATCACTTTAAAATGTTAGGAATAATCTAACGGCTGGGCAAAAAGTGGTAAGATTACATTACCACTTTCTGCCCAGCCGTCCTCAACGATTCAGCCTTGGAGATTTATATTCTGGCACAGAAGGCTATAAACATTCTAGTAAAATATTCAATTCTACATGTTTTCCTCCCCCCCCCCCCGTACCTTTTTCTTTACTGCCAAGGACTGATCTGTGGCCAAAATAACCAGCAATTTTTGCAAAGCACCTCCTTGAATTGCTGCAACTTGCACTCTGGGGTTGCTGGGGAAGAGAGAAAATAAAAACTCATTACAGTCAAAAGCACCTCAGCATCCTTTAAACTTTACTGAAATCTGGCTTCCATAAGAAATAATTGTGCCAGGGTAAGGATTTTAAAAAGAAACAGAAAACAATATATTGCAAAGCTGAAAATGAATATGAAGCCCTGGAGAGAGATCCTACTGCAAAACAGCATGTGCTAGATGTTGGTTTAGCTTCACGAGTCGCCACCTGCTGGAGCAATTTGACAAGATGAGACAACACAATGTCATTTAATGTGCAAGCTACGGATGTGCAAAGTAATCCCTGCACAAATTGTTCTGTGCACAATGCAGTTGCTTTTGAGTGGCTGATGTCTGAACCAAAACAGATAATTTTGGTCCAGATAGGGTCGTTTGGTTCTGAATATGCCTCAAATTCCTATTCTTGCTGCCAGAAGCATTTTTTTTTTTACTTCTTCTTTACTATTTTACTTTTGGGGAAGAAAAAGTCAATGATGAAGCAGATGAGGGTGAGGCACGAGAGAGAAGGTGCTGGAAAGACAGCTTCAGGACCCTTCCTCTGTTGCTTCCCCCACACCCTTAGCAGCTTCCTCAGGCTGTTGAGATAAGCCTTGGTGGGAGCTACCGAACACAAGAGGGGAGAGAAAGGGCGAAGCATATGATCTTTATTTTACACATTCCCTAAAATTTTTTGTAGGTTTGGTCCTATGGTCAGGAGTGAAAACTGACTTACATAAGGATCCCTCTTCATTTTACCTTTACAGAGATAACCATATGAAGATAGTTGGCCTAAAAGAAAATGATTAATTCAGTGTCACCTAGAAGGGCATTGTGGGACATTATCTTCAGCTTGAGATAATTCCAATATTAAGGAAGATTATCAGGTATGGAAATGTTTTAGATGAACGTTATAAAAGAGATATCAAGAGGAAAACTAAGCTGTTCAATAGGGTTATCGAATCTGAGCTGCAAAGCTCCACATAACCATGGCATGGTAGCCATTTTGTATCTGCTAGTCATGGCTCATCTGGAATGGTTCATCCGAACTTCTAGAAGGCAATGTGTGTTTCAGGTAACTAAAAAACTATTTTCCATTCCACGCACATCTCTACAGAAAGTGTATGCATGCATACATCTACAGATTTTGTATGTTTACAAACATGCCCTATGTGCATAAATGAAAAGAAAACTTGGTAGATTTACCATGTTCTTTTACTTTTTAAAAGAAGTAGTAATGCCACTGTAGAATTCTAGATCTTTTAAGTATCTAGCAGTGGTGGGATTCAAATTTTTTTACTACCGGTTCTGTGGGCGTGGCTTGGTGGGCGTGGCAGGGGACGGATACTGTAAAATCTCCAGTCAGAGGTGGGATTTGCCGGTTCTCCGAACTACTCAAAATTTCTGTAACCGATTCTCCAGAACTGGTCAGAACCTGCTGAATACCACCTCTGGTATCTAGGCATTGTAATGTCAAGAGTATAGTTTTATCTTCTAGGTCTGAATGGCAAAAGATCAAAACTCACATCCTTCTGGCCATTATCAGGGAAAATGGCCATTATAATTTGAGAATTGTTAGATTTCTTCCTTTTCTTCCTTTGCTGCTTCCATATAAACTGATGTTATACGTAACTCATCTTCTGCTATCCTGAAACCGTATCTCCTGAACAACGACTGGCACTAACTGTGCCTTAATAATCCTGAGCTACAATTCTTGTTCTAAACTTAACTGTAAATGGTGGATTAGTCATGCCACATCCTGATTTTGCTGTATGAGGTTAAAATGGGGGAAAATAATAAGAATGAAAATCACAATCATTCTTCAAAGATAGTGGTGGCATGGATGAGAGGTCTCTATGATAGAGATGCTTTTGCTTTTCGTAGTCAGTTCAGGAATAGGAGTTACTTCCATGTCCATCAACAATCAAGCCTAGACTATCTTGGAGGCAGAAACAGCCATATCAGTGATTTTTACCTTTCAATTTGCACAGGGACTTCACTAGCAGGATCAATGTCAACATCCTTGCCAAACTGGAAGACATGACTATCTCTGCTGAAAATGTGTTTGGCTTGTCAGTCTGAACTTCAAAATCTTAATTCTGCCTCTGAACTCAATTTTAGCTCTTTGATCTTGCTCGTGGCTGGTAGAACTGTTTACAAGGACTACCTGTATTCTGTAGACAGCTACAGACAGAAATATTTTTTTATGTTGGAAGGATGTTGCTATAATTTATATAGCACTCTCTATGGACTTGGCACAGCGCAGATTTGTATTTCATATGGTTTACAATTTGAATGTAAATATGGGAACTGGCAAAGGAAAACGATGGGAATGAAGACTGATGGAAATAGTATACAAATTATTTTGACTGCATGCATCTCTCCTTTGTTACAAAAAGGTATTTGCTATTCCAATGTATCTATGAAAAGATGTCTTGCAGACAGATTCAAGGAATAATATTGTATAAACAGAACTGGACAGGTAAAGAAGACAAGTGTCCAGGTTAAGAAGCAATTTTCACTAGTGAGACAAAACCTTTGGAAAGTTTTAGAGGAGACACAGCATTTTTTTGGGGGGGGGGGGCAGATTGAATGGGAAAGGGCCAAGGATATAGAAACATTGAAGAGGAAGCTACAGTTTCATGGTGGATTGATGGACTGGAGGATGATATTGTTAAGAATTAAAGTGACACTTTTTTTGAAAACTTTACATAAACCTCCAATGCCAGCCAAGATATAAAAAGTGCATATGAAATATAGGTCAATTCTGAGCATGCCATGAGATGCCATAATGACGCTGGCTTCTCTTCAAAGGTAACACTCTTCATTTTCATTTGGAGAAAAATGACAATAAGAAGGGGAGGGGGAAGCCATTTAATACAGCTAGCAGTGTTAAGATCATAAACAATGGATGGGCATCGGAGAAAAGGTCAGCATAATCACAAACAGTAAGAGAAAAGAACCAGTGACATCATAACATGACTATGAAAAATCATTTTGGCTGAACCTTTGTAGGCATAACAATAACATGTATGAAAATGATGCCTTTCTTGCATTCTAGGCACGGAGGTAATATCTTCCCCTTGCTCTCTTCCCTCAGCTTTGTTTCACAGATGATTCCATTCCTTTGCCCACTCAGTGTCGTATCTGTTGACTTTTTTTTTTTTTTAATTCAAACTCATTTTCCACATCTCTCTGGCTTTTTCTGCTCCATTAACATGATGATGTATTTAAAACATTATGATCATATTTTAGGGTCAGCCTTTTAATATCAAGAAGAATCGACCTTCCCTCCATAAAAGTTAGAGCATAATAAGTCCGATGCTATTCCCCTCAAAAATTATAAATGGGTCAAAGTTTCATTAGTTAGTACCCCCCCCCCCCAAAAAAAAAGCCCCACCCCACCCTAAACCCAACCAACCCATGACATTTATTTCTTGGCTTTCTCCTACAGAAATTGAAGGTGACCCAGCGTTGCTGAGCATCATGAAGGTTGCCGCATCTTCTGCCTTTAGACCAGGGGTCCCCAAACTTGGCAACTTTAAGACTTGTGGACTTCAACTCCCAGAATTCTCCAGCCAGCTATGCTTAAAGCTGCCACGTTTGCTTTAGACACAACTTTGATGGGCCAGAAAGAGGTCCTGCTGACTTCAGTTAGAATACCCAGAAAGGCTTCCCTCTATGGGGCTCTTTCACATACAAAAGAACGGGAGGGATAATAAGAGAGCTATATCAAATTACGCATGGTGTAGAGATTTCCCCCCCCCCTTCCTTTTTCATGCTACAGAAAGCACAAATCACCCAATGAAGCCGAACAGTGAATGATCCAGAATCCACAAAAAGCAATAACTTCTTCACAGAGCACAGGCTCAGATTACAGGATCCGCTTCCCCAGCTAAGCGATGGCAACTAACGTGGCTGGCTTTGAAGGTTCGATTCCATGCATCTATGCAGCGTAAGGCTTACCAACGGCAGTCGGAAAAGACTACCTGGTATCCAAGACATTGTGTTCCTCAGTATAATTGCTGGGGAACATGAAACGAAAAGGGCTCCCCTTCTAGCTTCCTTTCATCCTACGATGAAGTGTTTTGCTGGGTCCAATTGGCCCTTGAATCAGTTTAGCTCAGCTCTTCTTCTATTTTTATGCCCTTTTCCTTGAACCTTACTGCCATCAAAAGCCCCCCCCCCCGTTTCCCCCCCTCCGCCCCCATTTTCCCCACCACTACCAACTCAAAGCTGAATTCTTCTTTTACAAGAGTGATATACAAAGAAAATATCCCTGGTGTCATTCAATCCATGACCTGTTTTAAGAAAGAGGTGGCAATTACTGCTTTTGATCAACCCCTTGACCTTCTGGAGGGACCAGCTTAATTCAGCATGGTTACCTTCTCGCTCCCCCCCCCTCCGTGTGTGTGTGTGTGTGTGTGTGTGTGTGTGTGTGTGTGTGTGATGCAACTTCTTTGCAAGTCAGCTCCTATTGTTCCCTGCCAGGCATGACTGTCTTCCCTGAGAAGGGCCCGCCCCCAGCAACGGTTGTCATGGTGATTACACTCCAGTGTTGGTTGCAAGAGAAGGCTGTGGATGCCAGTTCGGTTCTCGCAGCTGCTACTGAAGTGGCAGCTTTTAATGAATATTGGCGGGGCGGCTGGCAGCCCCCCCCCCCCCCCCCCCCCCCGGTTAGTTTTTTGCTGGCTCTTTATCAGGCCCTGCTCTGTACCAAATAAAAATGTGCCGTGGAAAGTTGGTAAATATGCACAGAAGAGTAAATATTGCCTAAAAGCCTGAATTTATATACATGAAGATAAAGTTTCTCTGGGAATCCCCTTTATCAGATAATTAATTATACCGTAGGTGCCGTGCCCATACTTTCTTGGGGAAAAAAATCGAGGGCAAACCTGAAAGGGGTTCATAAGGATAAAAATTATTGTTTATATTCATAACTTTGCTTTACAAAAGCAAATTCAGGAGAAGAAAAACTGAACAAAAAACAAAGCTTCTAATAAAAATATCTAAAAACAAAACACTATAGGTAAATGTATTTTAGAAAGACAGTTCAATTTCCGTATTTTTCATAAGAAAGTAAAAGACGGTGCAGTTAAGTGGTGCCATTTGCACAGTAAAAGTTAAATGATCAAAATAACAGGAAAAAGTCAAGTTTTTGAAAAAAATAAAATAAATCTAAAGGATAGCTTTCTGAAATAAAGGGTTATCCTTTCTAACAGATTTCCCCCAAGGTTTCTGGTTTTGTGGAACGACAAAAAGTGAGCGGCTGGCGTGTGCACCCACCACTCCCTTAAATGGAGCTTGCGCATGTGAGGATGTGTGTTCGCACACACTCGCCAGCTGTTTCTGATTGCAAATCCCTCATGGTCCATTAATGGGCTGTGGCCCACAGGTTGGGACCCCTGCTTTATAATAAAGCACGTATGGTCACTAATTATCTATCAAAATTCTTGTAAGAGAGGAATGAAAAGAAGCCACAGGGAGAGCACTTTTCACTCACATTCCCCAGAAATTATATTGTCATTTTTGACAGCCACTGATAGCCTTATCCTGTACAGATGTGTACAGGGGTGAGATTCAAAAATCCCAGCAACTGGGCAGCGAACCAGTTGCTGTGTGGGTGTGGCCATGGTGGGCGTGGCCTACCAGAACTTTCGGGAGGGCTGTTTTTTGCCTTCCCAGGGGTCCAGAGGCTTCCTTCGGGACTCTGGGGGGACGAAAATGGCCTCCCCTGGGCTCTAGAGGCCCTCTGGAAGCCGGAAACAGGCCCGTTTTGTGGTACAGGTAGTCAACAACTTACAGTGACAATAGAGCATAACATTTATGTTGCTAAGTGAGAAATGAGTTAAGTGAGTTTTGCTCCATTTTACAACTTTTCTTGCCATATTTGTTAAGCGAATCACTGCAGTTCTTAAGTTAGCAACACGGTTATTAAGTGAACCTGGCTTCCCCATTGACTTTGCTTGTCAGAAAATCGCAAAAGGTGATCACATGACCCCCCCGGGACACTGCAACCGTCATAAATATGAACCAGTGTCAAGCATCTAAATGTAAATCACATGACTATGGGGATGCTGCAAATTAGTGTGAAAAACAGTCATAAGTCACTTTTTCCAGTGCTGTTGTAACTTCAAATGGTCACTAAATGAAATGTTGTAAGTTGAGGACTACCTGTAGTGTCATTAACTTGAGCCAATGAGAACCGATTCCCATATTTTTCACTGAATGAATTTCCAAGGCCATAACACCCCCGCGTAGCCATGGGACCAACCATATGAACTGGCCAAGCACAGCATGTAATTACTGTTTCTGTGGGGGTAGATCCTTATAAGACTTTTTTCAACAGTATGACCCTGAATTAGAAACAGAATGTATGTTTGCAATGATTAAGGAAGCCTTAGGGAGCGTCATTCCTGACTTTCACTATCTATCGATTTGAGGATTCAGGAAACATATGTCCAACAAAATAAGGCAGAAGATAGTGATGGGGATGTCTTTTTGTAGAACAGAACATTCTCTTCATTCTAGTTGGACTACAATCACCTGGAATTAATATTAGCCTTTTGTTCTTAAAGAAACAGGAGACTTCAGCACAGCTATATTCTCATTTTGCAAATGCATGCAGGGAGACCTTCTTGCTTCTAACAATAAACATACAGCTTTTGCATATCCTTTACAGAAATATGCTGAATTATATATGGTTTTAATTAATATACGTATTTGCCTTTGAATAGGTACATTTCAGATGTTGTTACATTTTAACCTATGCCAATATACAAACTTTTGAAAGATTACTGAATGAACAGAAGATAATAGCTATTATCTGACATAGACAAGAGATATTGGTTCACATTATGAAATTTGTTACTTGGTGTGATTCCAGCTTTTTCACACACTGCTATACATGGCATTCATTTCTTTTGTTTTGGGATTCTGCAGTTTATATCTTATAACTGACATGCATTTAGGCAATTTCTATATATCCCATTAAATCATTAAAGTGCAAGTTTCTGTGCACTGTCAGCTCTAAATTTCTCTATTGATTTTGTTTTGTTTAAGGCACTTAAAATGCCAGCAGGTAAGATGGTGTTTGCCAACACAATGTACTAATCAAGCCCCAGGTCAAAACACAGAATGAATTCTGGTATGAATACTTTGGAATATATCTGACAACATAATGGATTGGAAGTGTTCCAATTGAATTTTTAAAAACTTGATTTTGCTAATCTGCAACACAATACAAGCTGGCCTTCTGAAATATGACCTTATAGAAAGGCTGTCAACTATAAAACGTGTATACAAAATGTTTGGAAGTGTGGCTCAAGGCTCATGATTTAATTGGTGTAAACTGCCGGAACCCTGACAAAGGCATAGATTAGCAAACAACGAAGTATATAAAGGTGGTTTTGATTTTCACATGACATGCCCATTACCTATCTATACACAGTAACATTTAACCATGCCACAAAAAGGTGGAGCTGGGTTAAGCAATTTCCAAAAGTAGAGATGTTCATGGACAAGCTTCAGTATTCACGTCGAATGGTTCTTTAAAATATTAATGGCACCCTAAAAATGAAAGCAATGTTCACATTTTTGCTTTGAGAAGAGATCTGAAAGATACCCAGGGCAGACTAATGCAAACTTCTTAAGCATTTATCTGACTACAACTGATAAGGACAGACATACTTAGGACCTAATGATGAAAATCCAAGGGGGGGGGGGGGGGTTTGCAAGGTTGCAAATCACTTTTACTTCAATAATCAATACGAAGGTGAGTTTTGGGCCTTTCTGAATCTTGATGCGTTTGGTTATAATCTCAGAGAGCATCTATTCCTTTTTATATGCTATGTTTCTGACACTAGAATCCTTTCAGCAAGGATACTTAAAAATCTAATTATCAGCTAATTCCCCAAAGTTTGTATTGCTCTAGTTTTTGTTGTATGAAGCAGCACTGATAACCTCACCTGGCTGTGTGAAGGGGGAAGCAATCTGCTATGTGAAAGCCGCATTTCAGCAGGTGGGTAAATTGTTTTCAAAAATTGCAAAAGAGGTTTAAAAAAGCCATTTAAAGCCACTTAGCAACTGCAGGGTATTTTCACTGCACTCACTTCAGGATCTATCAGTCGTGATAACAGGAGCGATACACAGCATTGCCAGGAAAATCTGGAATTGTGAAACTGTATTGGTGGTACAGGTAGTCCTCAACTTACAGTCACAATTGAGCCCAATACTTCTGTTGCTAAGCGAGAGAGATGTTAAGTGAGTTTTGCCCCATTTTTATTGTCTTCCTTCAGTTGTTAAGGGAATCACTGCGGTTGATAAACTAGTAACACGGTTGTTAAGTGAAATCTGGCTTCCCCATTGACTTTGCCTGAGGAAAGATTGCAAAAAGGGGATCACATGACCCTGGGATACTGCAACCGTCATAAATAGGAGTCAATTGCTGTTCTGCATTTTGATCATGTGACTATAGGGATGCTGCAACGGTTTTAAGTACGAAAAACGATCATGTCATTTTTTTTCAGTGCCGTTGAAACTTTGAACAGTCACTGAATGAACTATTGTAAGTTGACAAATACCTAGCATGATTTTTCAGGATCCTTGCAATATAAGCCCTATCCCAAAAATAAGCCCCAGTTAAGATTGTCAGCCAGACCGATGCCATTTAGTACCACATTTCCCCGTAAATAAGACCTAACTGGAAAATAAGCCCTATGCATCTTTTGGAGCAAAAATTAATGTAAGACCTGGTTTTATTTTGGGGAGTACCTGTATTGACATTTTCTTTGGCTTACTCCTTTTTTACCCAGATTCTTAAAGCAACAGGTATACGTCGAGATGCTCACCTGGACAGTGCAGCTCCCAATACAAAAGAGGCATATTCTTTCATCAGGGGTTCACTGCTGTTCAGCCCATTAATCAAAAGTTGCAAGCCACCAAGGGAAAGCAAATCTTTCGCATTATCCACCTATGAAAGATACAGTTCCACATGCAAGGTAAGTGCTTCATTAAAATATATGTATACAGAGATAAATCAATCCACGCATTCCAGAAGCTAAATGATAAAGAGGCTTTAAAATCAAATGCAAAGCCTCTTGCCTCAAATCATATAACACTGCTGCAACTTTGGGCCCAGCCTCTTTGCAACCTTTTACAATGTTGGGAAAGGTCACACATCCTGCCTGTGTTTATTTTTTTAGAGAGAGAATATTCCTTGAGTAGAATCCCACCCACTGGGATCTCTGGATCCAACCCTACTGTTATTTAGTTAGAATCAGCCTGGGGGGGGAGGGGATTAATTGAAAATTAAGTTACTGTGATTAGCTTGCAAACTTCCTATACAAACAATGTACTTTCTAGAAGGAAGAAAGCTACAGTTCGTAGTTCTTTAGAATACATCCCAGGGAATCTAGTGAGTTAAATGGTATTCTAAGTACGACTTAATTAATAAGGTTAGGGAGTTAAAAAAAAAGAACACTTGGGAGGCAGTAATAAGCAGATTAGAAACTCATCAGCCAGTACAAATGATGTGGAATGAGAATTTAGAACATTGATCGTAAAATGACTAAGCTGACATGAGATGTGGTTAAGAGAAAGAGTTTAATGTTAGCCTTGATGAATCGGGGAAAGCCTTTGTAAAAGAACAATGGTGTAGTACTCTAATTCAAATCATGCACGATTCAAAATTTGAACAAATGAGTTGAGGTTCTTTATTCAGGAAAGGACGAATCTGTTAAGACCCGTTTGACAGATGCGATGGTAGCACAGTGGTTAGAATGCAGTACTGCAAGCAAAGTCGGCTCACTGCTAGGAGTTTGATCCTGACCGACTCAAGGTTGACTCAGCCTTCCATCCTTCTGAATCAGTAAAATGAAAACCCAGATTATTGGGGTCCATACACTGACATTTGCAAACAGCTGAGAAAATGCTGTAAAGCACCGTGAAGCGGTACATAAGTGTAGGTGCTATTGCTAAGTACTATTCTACAAAACATGTAGTCATGTAAATGTCAATTCCAGGAATTCCCCCAACAACTGCTGGTATTTTTTTAAAAAAAATTCTACCTGATGGACATAGTACTCAAGATCAGAAAGTGCTGTGATTTTCTCCTCAAGCGTTGAAGCTGAATTGTTGAATTTGTTGATTAGTTTAAGCATAATTTCAAGGTCGGTTTCCAGCTGCAGATTGAGCTCCCTGAATTCTTCCTTTAGCTTTTCAATGGGACGGAATCTGCGTCGGATGTCTTCCTGGTGAGCCTAGAAAATGGGGGCAGCAAACCCAAAGACTATAAGCCAAAAGTAAACATGCAGACATTCATGATTGTTTCTCCCAACAAACGCTGCTTCTTAGCTCCACATAAACAACATCTATTACTTTGTGGCCAGATACAGGAATAAATAAACATCCCTTAATAACTCCAATGTACTGGTTTTGTAAAATGCCTATTCTCGTTTTAGGGCTGCTTCTTTCTAGAAACTGGGATAGGGATGGGGAAAGAGAAAGAAAACAACCCTCTGGATTTTAATAAATCTATTTCTACTTAATGCCTGAAATTTCTGTTGTTTTACTTTCTAGCAATCACCTGCTAGAAATGTCAACTGATACATGCACTGAAGCAATGCATTCAGAAAGCAAAGAATCAGGCCCCTAGTTTGAAACATCTACATGCCAGAATGAGGAAGAGTCTGAACAAAGTGAAAAACATATGAAAAAGACTCAGCAATGTTAGAACACAATTTAAGCCACAAGGTGGTCTTTCAACGGCTCATCTGCTATACTCTCAGGTGCTTTTTGCTGGGTAGGCAATGAGCTGATGCTCAAATGTCTTTATAAAAACTGGAACATCTGCTGCAATTGCCTGGGAACTACCCGAGTTTTTAATTTAAAAAAAAAACAAACTCAAAATCATTTCCATCTGAATCCTGTCAGTAAAAAAAAAAAAAATGGATGGATACACACATTGATGGCTATTAAATTAGCTTCCTTACCTGCTCTTACGCATGGATCCTCACAAAAGCATTAGAAAATAAAAGAAGAAAGGCATTTAGAAGCCAAAGACAGATTGCTTCATTAGAGCAGAAGCACATTACCCAAACTCCCTCTAAAACAGGGGTCCCCAAACTGTGGACCGCCGCCCACTAGTGGGCCGTGAGGGGTTTGCAACTGGGCCATGGAAACAGCTGGCGGGCTCCCATGTATGCATCTTCATTTGCGGGAGCAGCAGGGGAGCACATGCGTTTAGGCTCCATTTGCCTGAGCGGCAGGCACACATGCGTGCTGCTCATGCAAATGAAGCTGCATGTACGCTTGCCAGCTGCTAGCATGAACCATCCTCCCCGCACTAGTCCACAAAGCCAGAAATATTGGGGAACTCTGTCATCTCCCAATTGTAATTTGCGATGTGAACACAATGATACATCATGAACTGTGTGCCTACTGACCACATTTTATTTTCATTCTAATTAAAATTACATTACAAATTAAATTACAGAGAGTTTGGTTTGCTTGTTTGCTTGTTTATAAGATTTATGTGCTGCCATCTTGATTAATATATGTTCCCTGGATGTCATTCAAAAACTCAAGTGTGGGCCTCAGTCTGAAAAAAAGAATGTGCATCCCTGCACTGAAAATGGAGGGTTGTTTCTCTTGCTCTTTCAGGGAAGAAAACAGACATGAGAAGGAAGTAGAGATTATTGGGACTCAGCCAGACCAGATCGCATCCATTTTCTTGGTTCACATTTGTTTCATGGATTTCACTTCTTTTATCAACATTGTCCCCACTGAGTTTAAGAATATGAGTGCTAAGTGCTTGGCAGCCTTCCCACTGCTGTTTTCCTGGATTTATATCATACCTTTTCTTCTGGCGTATCATCTGCCTTCTTGGTTTCTTTCATTTTAGCCAAGGCCCTTTTGAGTTCTTGCGTTGTGAATGAATTTGGGTCAACATCTATTTGGCCTAGCCTAGCATAAAAACATAAACCATAAACAATGTGTCAACAATGGAACAGATATATCCTCTTCAGAAAAGTCATCCTGACTCTATTTATTTAACTAAGCCAAAAAAAAAATGGAGGAAACAGTACATGGCACAAAGCAAGGTTTACTCATATATTGTTTTCATATCAGAGCTGGGTAAGTTTTTAAGAAAAACCTGTAGTCATTTAAGCTACGCTCCAAAGCCATCAGCAGAAATGGACAGAAAGTTTGTCTATGTACTAATACCCCTGTATTTTTAATGTCTATTTTAATTTAAAATGTCACCCAAAAGAAAGACACAGATAATTCAAGAGCTGACTGAGAGTGAAAAGTATTTTCTCTGTTCAGAGTACATACCATTGTAGAAGGCATACTGAGGACCTGTAATATATAGTTTCTGCAAAACTAAGGAGTACTTTAGACATACAATGAATAAATCAATAAAGGGGGGGGGGAGACAAGAGGTGGACAGGAAGACAAAGAGTGAGAAAATGTATGTACAGGATTATAAAGGTGCCTTGATTAGAGTGTGAACTTTTTTAAAATTTTGAGGGCTCTGGTTTTTATTTTTCCATATATTCATAATAATTTGATGGTTGCTGTCCATCAGGGATTATATTGTATATGGCAAATAACCATACTACCTCTTTTAAAGAAAAATTTAAAAACCTGCCTATTGGAAAATTATGAATCTATAAGCAAAACCATGTTCTGAAGGGAGAGCAGAGAGCAGAAAAGACCTGAATAAAAATAGAAATTCATCAGACTATAAGCATTGAGAATTAATGTCTTCATACGTTATCCATTAAAAGGGGACCCATGATAGAAAAGCAGCTGTGCTATTTTTGTGACTTTGCTTCCAAAGTTGCAAAACTCTCCAGTTTCACCAACCCCCTAGTGCAGAGTTAGGCTTCCCAGCTGAAGACATCGAAATCCAACACTATAGAGATGACTTCCGGTTTGCAAGGCTTCGGCAGCGGCAGGGATTCGCGATACCGCATGATCCCTGCTGCGCTCGCTGCCAAGGTGCCCCCGATCCGCTTGGATTTGGGGGATACAGCTGCCCCGTAGAGGCAGCTGAAGACAGGGGGGATCCGGATAGGGGTTTGGGGGTGTCATAGACCCCCTCCCCAGCCGGCAAAACCCCCTTTTCCCAAGGCGGAGGAGCGGCGGTCAGTAATGGCCGCCACAAAGAAACCTGCAGCCGGACAAGATTGTGCAGGAGGAAGAAAGTCGGAAGAGTTGTGAACGTGGTTTTTGACCGGGATAAAGTAAGAGAAAGTACCCTGGAATTTGAAAGTTGCTAAAGATAAATTGTTTCCAGAGAGAGTTACAAGCGGCGAATGGAATTCTAAAAGGGAAAGTTTTTTTTTTCTTTCTTTCTTTTCACTCTCCTTCCTAACGTGACAGCGGATGGAACTATAAGAGAAATCGGAAAACCTGCATTGGAGGTAATTAAATGCTGAAGGGATAAGGATTTCTGAACATTTAATTTGAAAATAAGGAGAAGATTGCCTAGAATTCTAAAGAGTTATTAAACATTAATAAGACTTCTAAAAGATATATTTTAAATGGAACTTTGTGACTAAACACCAACCCCAGAAAGAGAAAGTGAAGAAGGAGAAAGTACTTAAAAGAAACAGCTTATTTGGATTGCTTGGTGATTTTGGAACTTCTGAGAACTATCTTTGATTAAAAGCACTTGGGTGGTTGTTTGGAAAAACTTTTTCTCTCTATAATGGCATCACTTGTGGATGGATTGAAACTTGAATACCAAAAATATAAAAAAGAAGAGCAAGAAGGGAAGGATTCTCTTGGCACCCTTTTTCAATTTTTAGACATGGCGGTTTGTACTTATGAAAAGCTGACTGCGCAACAGGATGACTGGGATAAAGAAGAAGCCATTTTTGATGAACAAGTGACTTTAGTGGGGGAAGGAAAGGAGAAAGAGAAAAAGGAAAGGGGGACTTTAAGACTTGGAAAAACAACCAAAAAAGAGAAGAATAAGGTGAAAAGTGGATACCATGTTAGAAAACAACAGAAAGGAGGAAAGCAGTACAAAAGGGAGGTGGAGAGACAAGGGGGTAAAGAGGGCAAGGAGAAGAATAAGCAAGGGAGAAAGGAAGGGACGAGAAGCCTCAATGGTGGGGAGCAAGATGCAAAGAAACAAAAGTCTTTTAGAGATAATGGGTAAACTTTATTGAAAAAGGGATTCTAGAAAGGTACATAAGATTGTATTTTTATATTTGTACTTAGAAATAATCTTGGAAAATTGGGAACAATATGTAATTTAAAATGTGATAAAATATTTAGTATAATTTAGTGAAATTTTTGTCAAGGGGAACATTTTAACGAAACAATGATTTAAAATATGTGATGGGGGGGAAATAATTATGGAAAGCATAAGTGTTCCCATAAAGGCATGATATTTAATTGAAATGGGTAAAATGTTTAATATTAATATTAATGATTAGATTGTGTTATCCCAGTTAAATTTTTTGTGAAATGAGAGATTTGAAGTAGGAGAAGGGGGAACATTCTAATGAAATAATGATTTAAAATATGTGAGGTGGGGGGGAAATAACTATGGAAAGTAGGTGTTCCCATAAAAGTATGATATTTAACTGAAAAGTAATGTGTTAAGTGTTTAAGATATAAATGAATATTAATATTAATGAATAGATTTGTATTGACAATGATAATATTGTATAATTTTATAATGTACCAAACAGAATCCCAATGTAAGCTATGTATTTTATATTAAGTATTATAAATGTAGGGGAAAGAGATAAAGGCGTCATACTCCAATTAGTGTACAGGAGAAGTTTTCTTTAAAGAAGAAAGATAAATGGATAGCTGGAAATAGAACAGACAAAGAATAATAAATATTATAATTTAAATTGAGATGAGATAAATAAAATAAAACTAAGAAAATTTAAAAGAGATGAGAAGCTATATAGAAAATTGAAAATGGTAATAAGATATGGAATGGTATACAAAATGAATATGAATTTGAATTTGTGTCTGTACAAAGAGTTGTAACCCGGGACTAAGCAACTTTCAGAAAAGATGTTTTTTATGTTTCTCTGTTTTGTGTTTTTGTGTGTTTATGCTTGATTGAGCTAATAAAACCTTGGAGGAATGTTAGAAGAGGACAATTGAGAATAAAAGATAGAAGAATCAGAAGGAAAAATAAGTATAGTGAATAAAAACATATAAAATAGATAAATATAGAAAAGAAATATAATTGAATAAAAGTAAAGGGAGAAATAATGAGGAACTTGAAAGGATATGTATGTGTTTATAAGGAGATGTGTCAATGGTGTATAAAATGTTTTATTTGTTTAAAATTTACAAATAACTTTCAGAAAAGAGGTTTTATGTTCTTATGTTTCATGTTTTGTATGTCTTTAAAAATTAATAAAATTTGTTCAAAAAAAAGAAAAGAAATCCAACACTATAATGCTACAGGAAGACCCTTATTACAAAGGTAGAGTCCCCAGCATGCCATCATAAACCTTTCCATATACAGGTAGTCTTCAACTTACAACAGTTCATTTAGTGACCATCTGAAATTACAACAGCATGAGAAAAAGTGACTTATAACCATGTTTCATACTTACGACCACTGCAGCACCCCTGGAATCATGTGATCAAAATCAGGACATTTGGCAACTGACTCACATTTATGAGGGTTGCAGTGACTTGGGGACACGTAGATCCTCTTTTGTGACCTTCTGACAAGCAAAGTCAATGGGGGAAGCCAGATTCACTTAAAAACCAGGTTACTAACTTATCAACTGCAGTGATTCACTTAACGACTGTGGCAAGGAAAGGTTGTAAAATGAGGTAAAACTCATTTAAACAAATGTCGCACTTAACAATAGAAATGTTGGACTCAGTTGTGGTCGCAAGTCAAGGACTGCCTGTATTTTGTAAAAACTGATCCCTTGGAAGATAATCTTTCTAAATTTTTTTGCCCAAATAATGTATTTTTCATATTGCATCAAATTCTTAATCTCTTGGTCCTCGCACTTAAATATGCTAATTAGCATAAATGTTACTTTTCCATCAAAATGCAATCTTTATGCCAGAGGAACAATTAAGCATAATCACTACTGATATGTTGATAGAATCGTTAGGTAGATAATTTTCTTATTATTTATAAAATAATAAGAAATAATAAAATAACTTTTATTATTTATTTAAATTCCATCTTCCAGCTTGGATAAACAATCAAAATGGCTTACAAAATGTTACTCCCCGATATATTATGTACCCCCTGGTTAATTTTTGAAGCCCCAAGGTTAAGAATAATAAGGATTCTAATTCTGAAAAGTGTTTACAATGTATTATAAAAGTACAATCAATGGCTGGGGTATACCCCAGCCATGGATTGTACTTTTATAATACATTATAAACACTTTTAAGATCAATCAACTTTATTAGGGAATAAGCTTTCATGAGTAGCAGCTCTTGACACAAAATGAATAGAGCAGGTTCACTATTACACTTAGAGGACTTTAAATACAGAAAGTGGAAGCAAGAGAAAGGTGGGTGGAGAAAAACAGGCTAATGGGTTTACATAATAGCGTAACTGAAAGCCCCATCAATTAGCAGAAATAATGGTCTAAGAACTCATTGTCCCTATTCAAATCTTCTCTAATGGATTGCATTTTTAATGCCTTGTAATTTAGTTGTCTCTTCTTGGATAGTGCTGATGACATTCCTGTTTCACTCCTGCAATCTTGATGTCAGTGATGGAATGTCCTGGGAGGCTGAAATGTTGGGCCACTCTGTTGTTATTGTTTTGAACTACGATGTATGATTTGTGTTTATTTATTCTCTTATTTATGGCTGAGCTGCACAGTGGCTAGAGGTCTCTGACTCTCGCCTCCCACTCGGAAGGTTGAGAGTTCAATCCTAGATGTTTCTCTATCAGGGCGCAAAGAGAAAACATCTGCTGCGAACTCAGTGTAGGCTTCAGGAAGGGCATCTGGCCAGCAAATGCTCAGCTCCATTCAGTTGCCTGACTTCACCCGATAAAAAGGGATTAAAGGATCATAAAAAGAAAAAAAAATCTCTTGTATAAGGCTAATCTGTCCTACAGAGAATCTGGAGAAGCCTTGCTGGAAGATGATGACATATGCATCACACTAAAGGATAAGTATTAGCAGGACAGAGAAACTTGATCACTGCTATAAATCTGTGTGTGTGTGTGTGTGTGTGTGTGTGTGTGTGTGTGTATGGTATTCAGCTTTGTTCAGGTATTTTCCCATGGCATTATAGTTGTGCTTTTAAAGTTGTAGCAACGTTTCGGCAGAATCTCATCTGCCTTATTCAGGCAGATGAGATTCTGCCGAAACGTTGCTACAACTTTAAAAGCACAACTATAATGAAGTGGGAAAATACCTGAACAAAGCCGAATACCATACATGTAAGTACCGGCAAAAACTTAAGGAATATATATGTATGTATGTATGTATGTATGTATGTATATGTATGTATGTATGTATGTATGGCCTTCAGCTTTGTTCAGGTATTTTCCCACGTCATTATAGTTGTGCTTTTAAAGTTGTAGCAACGTTTCAGCAGAATCTCATCTGCCATCATCAGGCTTCTGTATTGTGTCCGTCTGTGAGTCAGACTTTTACAGTGGTTTCAGATTTAAATTTGGGGCAGCCTATTGCTGTGCCAGAATGGTTTTTTCTTCATCCTGATTGGTTGGGAGTCTTGGTCTGTGTTTATTGGTCTCGGAGTTTGCTGTGTTCTGCTTGATTGGTGTCTCTAATATCTTCTGTCTGTTTTTTGGCTCTTTTTGTATCTTGATTGGCTGGCAGCATTGTGTTACTTTATTGGAGGTCTTTAGTGCAGCTTGGCTTCGGGTAAATGGACGGCTATCACCAACTTGATCCACAAAAACACACTGAGACATAATAGAGACCCAGAAGATGAACAGACCCATGGAACAGCTGTCCTGCCCTACATAAGAGGCACTACAGACAAAATTAGTAAGATACTATACAGACACCACATCAAGACTGCCTTCAAAACAGACAGAAAAATAGCAGCCATCCTCAGAAACCCCAAAGACAAAATTGACCTGGAAAACCAAGGCATATACGAAGTCCCCTGTGCATCATGCCCGGCCACATACATTGGACAGACCAATAGAAGAATAAGTACCCGCCTGGATGAACACAAAAATGCAGTCAAAAAGCTGGAACACACTTCCTCACTAGTCCAACACATGGAAGCCACAGGTCATAGCATAAACTTCAATGGCACCAAAACCCTAGCCACTATAGAAAATTCCAGCCACAGAATCATCAGAGAAGCCATAGAGATTGAAAAAAGACCAGAAAGCATGAACAGAAGAGATGATTCCACCAGGCTGTCAATCATTTGGAAGCCTGCACTCACAAACAAAAAAATCTCCACACCACAAGCCAGGCAAACACCTGGGCACAAACAGATCCCCCCTGATACCTCCAGCTCGAACACATCCCAACCAGGCACCCAGATGAAACCCAGCTTCCTAACTAATGATAGCCGTCCATTTACCCGAAGCCAAGCTGCACTAAAGACCTCCAATAAAGTAACACAATGCTGCCAGCCAATCAAGATACAAAAAGAGCCAAAAAACAGACAGAAGATATTAGAGACACCAATCAAGCAGAACACAGCAAACTCCGAGACCAATAAACACAGACCAAGACTCCCAACCAATCAGGATGAAGAAAAAACCATTCTGGCACAGCAATAGGCTGCCCCAAATTTAAATCTGAAACCACTGTAAAAGTCTGACTCACAGACGGACACAATACAGAAGCCTGATGATGGCAGATGAGATTCTGCTGAAACGTTGCTACAACTTTAAAAGCACAACTATAATGACGTGGGAAAATACCCGAACAAAGCTGAAGGCCATACATGTAAGTACCCGCGAAAACTTAAGAATATATATATATATATATGTGTGTGTGTGTGTGTGTGTGTGTGTGTGTGTGTGTATGTATATATGTACATGTACATATACATACATACATACATATATATATATATATATATACATACATACATACATATACAGTATATGTATGTATGTTTTTATCTCTATCATCCATCTATCTATCTATCTATCTATCTATCTATCTATCTATCTATCTATCTAAACTAGACTCCAAGGACTCCTGGATGCACCAAGATTAGTACATTAACAGTAAAACTAAATTGAGTATTTAGTTTATACTGGTATTTTTTTATCCTTTGCTTTCTACTTGACTTGCATTTGCGATTATATCATTCCAGTGTATCAGGACTTTATTTTACAGTGTGGGTTATGTACTTTAATAGATCAACATTTCAAACAATATCTATGAAAGACCTTGCTCTGGAAAGACGCACCTTTCTGGTAGCATTCCCTTTCAAATAAACAATGAAAACAAATAGAAGTTGACCCTCTTCCAATTTAAAAAGAAAAAAAAAGTCTTTTAAATCTGTATACCTTTTACTTTTCAGAGAGTCTTGTGTGTCACTTTTTTCTTTGTAGTCATCTGGAAGTTTGGCTAATTTTTCTCCAGTCTGAAGATTTAATTGTACATGTAATCCTGGAGGAATAGCTTGACCTGAAAATAAGAAGTTAAGAGATTTCAAATTTGTCTCTATCTGTTCCATAAATATTCAAAACCATATTCAAACAGGGAACCAATGAAAACTTAAAGAATATTAAAGTTCCATCGTATTAGTTTAGTGTAAGGTCATCTAGCTCAGGGATTGCCAATCTTTTGGACCTCAGGGACCACCACACTCATAATTTCAAATCCCGCAGACCACTAATATGAATTTTGACTGACGGTGGCTTGCTGACGTTGGTGGGAAAGTTGGTCCCATATTCCAGAGCTGCAGGAGTCACAGGACTGGCCCTTTGGTCATCCCGGAGCAGCTGCTCCTCCACCTGGGTGCACCGGCCTGCCATGGAGGAGCTGCTCTGGGATGACCGAAGGGTCAGTCCTGTGACTCCTGCAGCTCCGGAATATGGGACCGACTTTCCCACCAACATTAGCAATCCACCCCGGGGCAGATTTCCCTCCCCCGCCTTTGGTCTTACCTTCCAGTTCCAGCTTGCGTGGCTCTACTCAAAGTAAGGCTTGCGCTTAGCCGAAGGGTGGGAGCCAGCAGGTAGGTGGGCCATGTGGGTGGCACAGCCTTGTGTTCCCATGCAGCCTGGATTAATTGCTTTGGGGGCAATGCTTTGGGGGGGACATTTCTTTGCAGACCACCAAAATTTTCTCGCGGCCCACCAGTGGTCCCTGGCCCACTGGTTGGTGACCACTGATCTAGCTGGAGGCCCATGCTATTGCCTTCAGATGCTGAATAATTTCCAGCACTTCTCACTATGGACTTCTTCAATGCAAATTCTGGGATCTGTAATTCCGCAACACTTGGAGAATCATATGTCTGGTTGCATAAATATTTGCATAAATAGAGTAGCATATTACAAATAAATAGTGTAATATGCTACTCTACCATATTTAACCACTCCTTTTACAGATTACTCCTGAACCCAGGGACCATTTGTACAAGTATTCCAAATGCGCTATTATCAAACAGTCAGGACTGTATTGATTGTCTGAATCCTCGCAACACAAGATTAGAAATCTATTTTAAAACAATATGAATTGCTGATGTCCTAATTTCTACTGCAGTGAACTTGGGTAATCAGAGCCTATTAATTGGAATCAAAAATTGGTCATTCAAAAATAAACTAATAATCCGACACAAGCAAAAGTATGCAAAATTAGAAGCAAAACTTCCTTAGCGCCACCCATTCCAATGATCAGCAACTCATGAGTCTTTATACTCACAGGGCATTTATGGCAATGGGCTTTGCAGGATAAAGAAACATGGGGATAATTTCTAACAGAAAAGAATGAGAGTAGCATAGATTTTCTATCACTTATATGTTTATCTTCTAAAAACTAGTGGATTCAACGTATCACTATAAGTTCATTCAAAGGAGACTTATTATAACTTTTAAAGTTGTTAACAAAAAGTAGGGCAAAAACATCTCAATGGAAGAACTGACAATGCAAATCCTGAGCCATTCAAGTAAGGTGAGAAAGGACTCAAACTGAGCAAATGTGTATTATAAAATAAGACACAAATGTAAAAAGCGAACAGAATTAAAACACGCGATAGAGAAAATATATATTCTGTCAAAATTACACAGCATGTGTTTCTAAACTAATGAAATTCATACATGAGAAGATTGAGATGTCCATTAATATAATCTGTAACTGAAGTAGAGGTAGTGCTGAACTTACAACCATTCGTTTAGTGACAGTTCAGTTACAATAGCACTGAAAAAAGTAACTTATGACCATTTTTCACACTTACAACCACTGCAGCATTCCCATGATGACATCATTAAAAGTCACCCATTTGGCAACTGACTGATATTTAGAGTTGCAGTGTCCTGGGGGGGGGTGTCATGTGATCACCTTTTGCGAGCTTCTGACAAGCGAAGTCAATGAGGAAGCCAGGTTCATTTAACAACCATGTCACTAACTTAACAACTGCAATTATTCACTTAACAACTGTGACAAGAAAGGTCGTAAAATGGGGCAAACCTCACTTAATCACTGTCTCATTCAGCAACAGAAATTTTGGACTCAATTGTGGTCGTAACTTGAGGACAACCCTATAATCTCGCAATTTTTCAAGAGTATCCACTGTGGGACATGATATTTGTTCTCAGGAAAATTTGAAATGCACAGTCTTTTTAATTCAGAACTGAACATGTTCATTGCATTTAAGGAAAATAATAATGAAAATAGATGACACAATAATTGGTTTTTTTCATTCTAGATCTTATTTAATCAACAAAGAGTAGACTGCCTTTGAACAGCATGTCTTACAATGTTAACTTTAGCTTTGGTATATAATAATATCTTGATCATAAAATGGAGTTTTTCCTTTGTCTGCATTTCATACTTTGGCTTCATGTCTGCACCTCCAAGATGTAAATAGACAAAAAAGGTATAATCTAATTAAAGTATAACTGATTCCATTTTTAAAAAGTGCACGTTATCTATAAATATTTTTTTGTTTTGAGATACTGGAGGAAATATTAATAACAGATATTCATTTTTACTTCTATTTGTTACTTTTTTATGTTTTCCCTGAAGTCTTGCACTACTGACAAAAAGAACGTCAATAATTTAGCTCCTCAAGAGGCAGTCTCATTTATTAGAACTTCCTTCCACGAATTAATCAACAGTATCTTTGATCAACTGAGATTTGAAGGTTACTAAACCTTAGTACCTGTGGATAAGCACATAAAATAATATAAATAACGTTTTTTCTAAGCATCCAGTATTGAGACACTGTCCTGTGAAAGGATCACTGACTGCATTTGTATGCATGCAACCAGAGAGGACAGTTCTTCTGGCACTGCCACTCAAGCAAACCACATAATTAACCTGAAGAATTAAATGCAAAATTTGGTGACGACTACTAACCTGGATCCTTTAAAAGGGTAATGGTTAAATTCATGGAAGAGAGTTCTATCAAAGGGTACTACAGACATAACATTACCTTTAGGCTGGGGCAGCCAATGTCTCCCAATACCAGCTATATTCCACCTCCTATTTGTAAACACCAGCAGGCACAGGATTGGTCACTGTAGGAAATGCTGGATTAAACTAAACCTTGGCCTAATTCAGCCCTTCTTCCCTAGCAACACTTTGAGCAGCAGAGTAAAGAGGGGTGCTTTAGTTCCTTTGCAAGCCTCCCTTGTGAATTATTTGCACAAGCTCTAAAAATAAACCATGTTTCCATTACCTGGCCTGATAGTCTGCCACTGATTTGTTGGATAAAAAACTTCCAAGTCTTCAGAATCAAGAACCTCTTCTTCCTCCTCGATCACCTCCAATTCTTCCTTGTTTGGTTCTTTTAAATCACCCTCTTCTTTTTTTGTCAAAGCAAATTCCTACATTAAAAAAAAGATAGGGTTACTTCTAGACCTGCATGTAAAGGTAAAAGTAAAGGTTTCCCTTCTCCACTCATGTCCAATTCTAGGGAGGAGCAGTGCCCAGAATACCAGAGGTGGTATTCAGCAGATTCTGACCAGTTCTGGAGAACCGGTAGAGGAAATTTTGAGTAGTTCGGAGAACCGGCAAATCCCACCTCTGACTGGCCTCACCCCCACCTCCCATTGTGTCCCAGCTGATCGGCTGGGTCTTCTTTTGTTGCCCTGCACAGGAGAAAGGAGCTGGAAAGCAGGTTAGTGGGGTGGGGAGGGAATGGGGATTTTACAGTATCCTTCCCCTGCCACGCCCACCAAGCCACGCCCACCAAGCCACATCCACAGAATCAATAGTAAAAAAATTTGAATCCCACCACTGCTCATCTCCATTTTTTAGCCACAGAAACAGGGTTGCCCAAAGACATTTCTGTGGTCATGTGACCAGCATGACTATACATCGAGTGGTACTAAATGCTATTAATTCCTCACCAAATTGGTACCTATTTATCAGGTCGCATGCAAACTTTTGAACTGCTAAGTAGGCAGGGGCAACTAACAGGCGCTCACTGCTTTGTGTGGCACTTGGGTCTTGAACCTGGGCTGTCAGCTTTCCAGCATGTATATTATCTTTCATTAGCAAAAATACTCTATGTATTAAATATGCATTAGAAAAGATCTTTTTTTAAAAAACCAATGAAATATGTGGATAACCATCTGCATTGAAAGCACAGTGCTAAAAAAGAGAAACCATCCCACTCGCCCATATTCATTCTGGCTGATGGCTTAACTTTCTTTAGAGAAACGTATTCAATATTTGTTTATTTAAAAAAAAATACTTACTGCAACCCTGTCATTCAAGCACGAAGAGAAACTTGTTATAAAAAGCAGCAAGACCACCAAATTCAGCTTTGTCACAATGGAGGACCAAAAACAGATGTGAGGCATTGCAACCTGAAATCACACAGTTAATTAATAGATCCCCTGCCCATTTCCATCATATTTTCATCACATTGTACAATTTTACCATACTCCACAGAAAACAAACATGACACTACTAAGCAGTGAATATTAGTATCCCAAAATATATACCCCAAAGCTCTGTTCCAAAGATATTGATACACTGGTAAATTTCATAAATGTATGAATTTAATCTTATCTCAAAGAATACTCTTCAGTCAAGAGCAAATTCATCATGGCGAATACCTTTAAGGTGAACTTATACTATCAATATGGAGACTGTATACTTTAACTACATTCTATATAATTAATATGAGTTAACAGTGATTCAAATAAGTGGTCCTTGTACACTTTTTAAAATAATGATAAAAGTACAGTTTCTGCTAAAACTGCTTCTTTCCTTAATTTTGTTTTCTTTTTGAATGATACCATAAAGCAGGGCTATCAAACTCGCGGCACACGGGCCAGATGCGTCACGCACTGGCCAGGCCCAAACCCAGTTCAGTGAAGGAGAAAAAAGTTGTGATATGTCACATGACTTTGACTTTGACACCCCTGCCATAGAGTCTGGATGGGAAATCCATGATTGTCCAAGTAAAAACAGATTCAGGGCAGCAACTGCTCAGAATCACAAGAAACGTGGAGGTGACAGGGGGCACAGGTTCTACACACCTAGTAAAGGTGGTTATTCCACACCAGTTTTGTCACTTAAATAAGCATGCTCTCCCACTAGCTATTAGTATTATTTTCTGCATATATGGAGACAGCAGCTTGGTAGTCACAAGGAACTCTGCAAGGATAAATGCAATAAAGCTCTGTTACTGTTACTCACAAACTCAAAGAAAAGTATTGTATTTAGCACTATTCCCCTCCATCTTTCTTTGTGTCCACCTCCTTTATTCCCTTAATCTTTTTCTTTACGTCCCCTTTTTCTTTTATTCTTCCCCCACCTTTTTCTTTACCTCCCACTATGGCAATTCCTTTGGTGAAAACTGAAATAATGGCAACAGTCTCAGTTATGCCCTTCGTACTGTTATGTGCTACCTTCTTGAAAACAAGCCCTACTTTTCTCCTAAGAATGAAATCAGCGGGGAAGCACACTTGGCATCCCATTTGTGGCAAGGGGAGAGAACAATTTACTCCATCTCTGTCATCACAAAAAGGCCTTTTAAAGTCCTTGAATCACACCATTCATCACAGGAAGCTCCTGAACAGAAATGACTGCTGAGCACAACTTCTGGGTCCAAAGGAACAGTGAGAACTAGAAACCTTCACACAAGGTTCCCTCTGCTTCGTTCATGCTGCTTTGAGTTATCATCCTGCAACACCACCACTGTGATTTTGAGGCAATTTATGGTCATTTGTTCTGCCTTGTGAACTCTGGGGTCTGTTCCTTTGCAAACTTCATCTGTATTCTGATATTTGACTGAACTAGTTTTGCAGTGGAGGTAATTTTGTATTATCACACCTTTGGAGTTTTTTGTTGATTTTGTTTTGTTATCTTAAGCTGCTCGATAGTATAATGTTCCCAAAGTATTACAGCATATACTTAGGTAAGGATCAGGAAGGATATGCTGTTCATTTAATGTTTTATGACTATAATTATATACTGCTAAATATCTGAAAAGTGTCCCAATGTAGATTCTATTTTATCACACTATCACCTAATTGTACAATGGCAAGCATACTTGGGAGCATTTTAGAATGAGAGAAAATATGGATCAAATATTTAGCTATGTCTCAGTTTGCAATTATCATACACAGCTGGAAAAATGAGTAAATGAAGTAAATTCTGTTTAAGGTAACAAGTGGTGTATTGTGCAAATCAGAACCCTTAGAGACCATGAGTTTTAGCTCCGTCTTAGATACAAAAGGAGCTGTGTGACCTGGGGCCAGTCACTCTCTCTCAACCCTAGGAAGGAGACAATACCAAGCCACTTCCAAAAAACCTCACTAAGAATACTATGGGACTACTCCAGGTATCAACACAGACTTGAAGGCATACCAAAAAAAAAAAAACCCTCCAAAACCCAACCCGTCTCAATTTTGAAAGCAATATCATTTATTTTTAACTTATTTCGTTACTAATCCATTATTTCTTGTTTTAATGTTTTATATTGGTGTTTTTTAATTAATTGTAAGCCGCTCAGAGTCACCTCGTTGAGAAGGGAGGCATCTTCGTTCAATAAATAAAAAAAAAACCGAAATTTCTCAAGAGCAACCTCACACGTTGGTATGAATAGAAATATTAAATGATATCTTTAAGGGCACCTATTATATTTAAACGGTTGCTTAACCCAATTCAAGACCCAATACCGCGCAGGCTCGGTGTTTTATCTATCCGAGAGGCTGTTCTGTTCGGGCAGCGGTGGGAGATGGGACGGGTGGCAAGTGACACGGAACCGCGGCAGTTCCTACCACGCACTTTTGGCTGTCCACAACGGCTTTCTAAAACCGGGTCAGAAACGGCCAAGATGTCCATAATCTTCACGGCCGTGTTTTAAGAACAAAATCAGGCGGTTCGACTTCTACCGTGGCTTCACATTCCCGGTCCCCAAACTCGCCCCCCCCACCCCCACCCGCCGTAAAGTTACATTTATTTACGCAGTAGCAACCCAGCATCCAACCCTCATGGAGCCAGCCAGCTAAAGCAGGGGAGACCGGCGACTATTTCCCCTTCACTGGTATGGAGTCGAGCGAATACAACACCAGCTGTACCCAAAAAGGTTTCCAACACAATCCCCGCCAGCCAGCCAGCCAGCCAGCCACAGAAGTCAAGCGCGATGGGAACTGGAGTCCAAAACATATGGGCAAGCAGGTAGGACGAGAGGGAAAAGATCCCCGGCAGCCTCACTGCTGACACCGCCGCTCGGGGCTTGGAGGGGATGCCCGGCGGCCTCGGAAGGAGCCCTGGGAATACGCACCGTGCCCACCGCAAGCCTCCTCTCGCCCGCCAGCCCCTACCTCTTTGCTCCAGCAGGAGCCGGACACCCCCTCCCCACTCCGAGCCGCCCCGAAGGTGCTCTTCACCAATCAGGGAAGCCCGCGTCACCACCGCCTGCCGTTCCGAGTTCTCAGGTCAAAGCTCCGCCCATTCAAGGGAAGCCGCTTTCCCAACGTGGCATAGAGATAACAAAAATTAGAGGCGCTCCCCAGCTCGCAGGAAAGATATTAGACTTCCTGGTCCGTTTAATGCCTCTCTGCCCTATCCGGATTCTATCTCGGACTGACTCCAAAGGTCAGAAAAAAGCCTTTATTACTTTGTCTTTGATTCCTCTTCGTTTTCAGTCACACAGTATACCTGTTATGTACATACGTTTAGCAAATTTCTTTCTCATCTGGTCGTGGCTTTGTCAGCTTTCATTTCCCTAACTAGTGATTGTACAAAAATCCCTAAATTATTTGAACACAGGCGGCATCTCCAGCTATACAATGATGAGTCAGATCATGCATTTCCAGCTTTAGTAAAGAATCAAAAACCAATTCTAGCCAATAACTCATGTTGGAAGAATTATCCTTCTGGGTTCAGTTCCAAGTGGGGGAACATGGAGGCTGTTTGGAAAGATGGTTTAATGGTGGACAGGACCACGTGGCTTGGAGCACCAAAGTGAAAAGGATGATCACATCCTTCAAGATGTTGGGTGAAGGAAAAGAAAGGCCAAGATGCTGAGAGATGCTTAGTTATATACCCTCTATATCTCTTATATACCTTAGCGTTTCCTGTTCGTGTGTGAGAAATGTATCCCATTGGCAGTCAGACTCCCAAGGGCAGGGGTCTTAGCTAACTTTGCAGGCTTTGTCTAGACCAAATGGCTTCACCTGAGTGCTGGCTGATGCAATCTTCCCAGGCCAGGTGGTGAGATGGGTAGAGGGCTTTGTTATGTAGAATACTCTGGCCTAGGCCTTAATGGCCTGCCCATTAACAAAGGTGGGGGTGAACTTCTGCTTCTGAGGTGAGTTTCTGCTTCTAAGTTTCTACTTCTCTTTTTAGGGAAAATATTCTGCCTTTTTAATATTTCCTAGGATATTTCATTTTTCTAGGAGTGTGGGGGGGGGTGCTAACTTCATCCTGCAGAAACAAAGGCTCTAAGTTTTCATCTTATATCAATAGTTTGTACAGAAATATAGTAGAGAATAGTAGGAAGATACTTCACCTGTTTCCCTGTGATTTTTGTGACTGGCCACATACAAAGGCTGACCTTTGGAACCTAGTCATTTTCTATAGCAGTGATGCAGTGGTGGGATTCAAATATTTTTAGCACCGGTTCGGTGGGCGTGGCTTGGTGGATGCGCTTTGCACACGTGCACACACTTCATGTGCACACACTTCAAATGCACACTTTGAGCAGGTGCAGAGGCGTTCTAACTCACCTGCAAGCCTGCACAATCCTGGTCACTTCATGCCGCGCAAAGCAGCTGTGCTTCAAATTCAGAGGATAAAGGTGATTATGGGAGCCCGGGCAGATGGGCCCAACAGCAGAGCGGTGGAGAGAACGAGGTCGAACCAGTAGAATACCACCACTGCAGTAATGGCAAACTATGGCCCCTTTTATGACAGCAGTCAGCTCTTGTTCAGAAAATTTCAAATTAAACCGCAAATTCTGCTTCTCTCTGTACAGATGATATCTGGCTATATGAATCTAATTTTATAAATCAGGAGATTATAATGTTAAAATAACCAAGATATTGAAATGTGGAGATACTGCTGATTCTCTGCAATGATGTGTTAGCAAATGGTACTACAGAACTTATCCTTAATTTGGCATCATTGCTTCTTTTTTATAAGAACCAAACTAGACTATTTAAATTACAACACAATAGCTGAGTGGCAAGAAAACTCAGAAATAAATGAAATGGACGCATAGCTACATAACATGATGTAACAATCTGAGCCTAATTAGGCAATGATAATTTCCTGTGGCTAACCATGGTTTATTCAATTAACCAATGAATTTATCTTACACCCACACACTAAACCTTCTATAAATGTATGGGCTAGGCTGTCCAATATTCTATTGTAAAAAGTAGCTAGCTTGTATCTGGGTATTGTGTAGGAAAGGGAATAGTTTGTCCAGACTAAATCCACTTAACTATATTTTAATATATTACATAGAAGAGATCTTGGAGATTTTCTAGTCCAACTCCCTACCCAAGGCAGGAATCCTTATACCATCCCAGAGAAATGACTGTCCAACCTTTTCTTGAAAACATGCAGTGGTTGAAGCACCCAGAACTCCAAGGGAAGCAAATTGTTTTACTGTGTCAGAAATAAAATCTGGTTGGGTTCTTCCAAGCTGGGAGAAAGACACAGGAGAAATTAATTGAAGGCAGATCACAATTGGAAAGGAGATCTCAATTTAGTTGGTAGCCAGAAACAACAGCAGCATGTTTCTGGGGTGGCTGACAAATTGAGGTTGAGAGTGGATGGGATTTTATACAATTTGGGGGGCTTTGTGATTGAGATGCCTGTTCCTGTGCAAGAATATGTCCTTTAATATTTTAATGGCTGTTGCCAGATTTCCATGGGGTCATGACTGGCTCTACAGGCAGAAGGGAAAATGCAAATCCTATGTATTTTGTTTGTCTGAGCTAATCTTGTCAGTTTCCACTCCTTGCCTATTTGCTGCTTATTTGGAGTTTGTGGCTGCCCTTTATTGATGAATAGAGTGGCATGGCTTTATGAATGAATACTAAATATTCTTTAACAAAACCTAGCCTCTTCAGGCTTGAGACTGTTTTCCTATAGCAGAAAAAGTGGGTTTGCTTTCTGCCTTTAACATTTTTCTCCTCTTCACCTTTAGAGGAAATATTCTGCCTCTTTTAATATTTGGTAGAATATTTTTTTTCTGGGAAGGGGAGGGCCATTCATCATTCTCACTGTAAGGAAATTCCTCCTCAGTTCCAGGTTGAATTTCACTCTAACTAGCTTCCACCCACTGTTTCTTGTCCTACCTTCAGGTGCTATGAAAAATAAATCAACCACCTCTTCCCTGTATTGATGTTCTTTCAGCACTAAAAACTAATTTATAAAGAACAACTTTGATGTAGTTATCAGGCTAGAAACAGGAAGACTTGTAGTCCTGCCTTTGATGCAGTCTCATGACTTTGGGTTAGTCACTTTCTCTAAGGAGGCAAAGACAAATCCCTTCTTAAAAATTTTGCGAAGAAAACTTGACAAGGCAGTTTCCAAAAATCAGACACAACTGAATAGAAGAAGAAAAAAAACTAATTCATAATCTACAATAGTTGGGTTGAAATCTAGTATGAAAAATTATATTTTTAAAAAAAATGATGTGAAAGTGTAGAGCCACAGAATAGGTTTAGGATTGATCATAGCTACTGCCACTGGGACATGTAGGCTGTGTGGACTGAACCATGTTAAAGTAAAACATTCTTTTTTGAATGTTCTTTATAGAATTATCTTTATTCTTTATTGAATTATCTGGATTGTTAGAAAATGAGAACTGTGTATTGTTGGATTTTCACAGAGCACCGCATTTCAATCATATGTAAATTAAGTTTATTCTTGTAAACGCAGGCTTATTGCAGTAATCTATCCGATGCTAATTTGAAGTGGGGGGAATTATTAGTGCTAGTAGAGAAAATTTCCTCTCTTGCTGGGGGGAAAAAAACACAAAGACTTGAAGAAGAAAAAAAATCAAAGCTCAGCTTCTCGCGATATACGCTGGACAACAGAACGACCGCGTTCTCTCGCGAGAACCCCATTCGCACAAAATTCGAGGTCCTGCGGCCAGACGGCGCATGCGTTAGTTAGATTAGCGGTCCAATGCGAGCGGTGTGGGAGTGAGACATACGCAGCTTCGTTTTGGGATTTTTTTTTTTCTTCTTGGTCCTTTTTTTCATGTTTTGATTGCGGTAGAGATGGCAAATTAAGCGAACGACTCCTTTTCTTGCCGAGGTAGGAATTGGTATAGCTGGGTGGTATCGGTAGGCCGCGAAGAGTTCCTTTGCTGCGCCGTTTGGCCTGAACCGTTGGAAACTTGGAAGGGAGGAGGGGCGCGTGCTGTTCTATCATGTTCGTGCGCATGCGTGGAGGGAAGAGAACGAGAGAAGCCCTGCCCGCCCGAAAGTAGTCGTGCGCGCCCTCACAGAGAAAAAAAAATAGGCCGCGGCGCCGAAGCCCGAGGTGTGGTCGTGCGCATGCGCGGGCCTCGGAAGCAAACGGAGCCTTTTTGAGTCGAGGTTTATAACGACCTTTTTGTTCTTTGTTACGTAGGCCATCTTCTCTTGGGGTAGCTAACTGATTTGTATCTTGTATTTTCATACGTTCTTAGGCGTTTTTGGGCAATTAAAAAGAAGATAGTGCTCCTTAATGTTTTTCGTTCTGGCGACGGTCAAAATAAGGTCTCTGTGTTTCCTCAGAAGTAAAGTTCGTTTGCATTCAGGGGTGCTGATTACCAAATGCACTGAATATTTAGTAGTGTTTTACTCCTTTCAACCAGGCGCTTGATGTAACGCATGATATTTTTCAATCGTAACTGCAAAATTTGAACCCAAGTTTACCGACCGCCATTTTAAGGCCATCAATCGAATATTTGTCGTCTGCGACCGAGAGGGTTGGATTTTGATCGATTTCTGATTGAATGCAAGTGGAGGTGTTCTTTTTTTTAAATTGCGTACAAAACTTACTTCCGCCCCTGCTAAGGTTGGAAAGTTGCTCTTGATCGTATATTTTGGAGGGTGGTCTGTTGTATATGAAACACAAGTGCGAGTTTGAAGTTTTTAAACACAGACAACTTGAATCTTAAAACTTGGTTGTAGGGAGGGTGAGTCCCTATTCTTCCAAGGTTCCAGAATTAGGGTGCTAATTCTGCAAGCTGATTTCCTCGCTAATCGAAGGCCCTTTGAACGCAAAAAAAAACAAAAAAAAAAAAAAACCCGCTATTGCAGTCT